ATCCTGCCTAGGAGTGGTGGATTAGGCATGATAAGGGATTGATGTATTAATATTGCTTGCAAGTACAATTCCGAAGAACTAATATATCATTTCAATATTTATATATTAAAATAATTTTTTTAATATATTAATTTTTAAAATATTGGAGGATATTATCTTATACAATATCATACCAAACGCTGGATAGTATTAAAATTTAATCAGGTCTTATACAATCAGGTCTTATACTATCAGGCTTTATCCTATACTATGCATCAAACATGCCCTTACAACCATATCTTAACACCGTTGATTTTTGTCAATCAACGGTTATCATTTATTGTGAATTAATAATTAATTAATGAGTTTTATTTGCGAAAATCATAATCGCTGATTGATGGAAATTAATTGTGTTAAGATATTGTTGTAAAGAAAAAGTTGTAAGTATAACCTTCCTCTTGGTAGAATTGAATTGGACTTGATTTTGTTGCATAATTGACTTCTATCAAGAAGTATTCAAATAATTTTTTAATGGATATTCAAATAATTTACTAGACTAAAAAGTATTCTAACACTTCCTTCAAAGAAAGAAAATATTCAAATACTTACTTGGGAATAAGCATTCTAATGGCTAATAATAATTGTGTTTATTAAATACTTACACATAGTTATTACGCCTCCAACAACCCACTTTGAGATTAACAGGTTATCGTGTCATGTCAACTTGTGTAATAAATGATACACTTTAAAGTTGCAGGTTATTCGTATTGTGTTGTGTTAACTTGCAAAATGAGCGAAATCCTCTTATAGATCTTGGTTGTTATCGAATACTGGTTGAGAAGTTGAATTATCTTACTACAAGAGCAGATATCTCTTTTGCAATTAGTATGACACAACAATTCCTTGATTCTTCTCGTGATTCCCATTAGGATGCAGTTATTAGAATTCTCCAATACATCAAAAGAGCACCAGAAAAAGGCTTATTATATAAAGATATGGGGTATGTTGAGGTTTGTAGCTACTTAAATACATATTGGGCAGGTTCTCCTTCAGCTAGACAATCCACTTCAGGCTATTGTGTCCTCTTTAGAGGAGATCTAATTTCTTGGAGGAGTAAGAAGCAAACTGTGGTAGCTAAGTCAAGTGTAGAGGTTGAATATTGAGTAATGGAAGCTACAACTTGTGAGATTATTTGGTTAAAGCAATTGATTAAAAAACAAAGTCTCTATGAACATCTGAAATTGATTTGTAACAATCATGTAGCGTACACATCTTCTAACACAATATTTCAAGAGAGTACCAAGCATATGAAATTAACTTCCACTTCATCCGATAAAAGATTCAAGATAAAGTGACCGAGACAACATTCGTCATTTCAATGATTATATTTACCAAGATTCTCAGAGGTCCCTGAATCGATATATATTCATCTTTCATAATAAGAAAAAGTTCAAAAAAAAACCCTATGATTTTTAATCCAAACTCATCCTTAACACCGTAGAAACTTAACTAATTTAAACTATTTTACTCTTCTTAGAAAAAATAGACCAAGGATAGAAAAGAAAAATGTCTCATATGTTATAAACTTACAACACTTACAAAAAAGACTAAAAAAAGAAAATTATAAGAAAAAAGATCAAATATGTTAAATTAAAAAAAGAAAAATAAATAAATTGAGGAAAAAAAAATAACACCACATATGTTGAAAACTTATGATGGTAATAGAAAATGTTAAAAGTAAAAAACAAAAATAGTCTAAATAAAAAAGAAGAAAATAGACTGAAGACAAAAAATAGAAGAAAAAATAAGACCAAATATGTTGGAATTTAAAAAATTGATTTTTTTCCTCCTATTTTTTATCTTATTCTTTTTATTTCTTTAAATAATAATAGAAAAGACTTGAAGTGAAAAAATATGGAATAAAAAAAAGGTCAAATATATCTAGATCATAAAGAAGCAGAACAAACAAAGAAAAAGAAAAACTAAAATAAAATATGTCTAAAACATACAATACTTATTTTTTCTTTTGTCTTTTTTTTCTTCGGTTTATTTTTTTCTTTTTGATTAAGACTATAGACACTTTTTTTTTTTTTTTACTTTTTATCTTTTGTGTCATTGTTGTAAATTTTCAACATATTTAGCCCTCTTTTTTATTTTTTTGAGTTATTTTTTTTTTAATTTAGGCATGTTTAATTTTTTCTATTTTTATTTTTCTACTTTTAATTTTTTCTGTAAGTATTATATGTTTTCAAAGTATTTCATCTAATTTTTTTTAATTTTCTTCAATTTTGTTATAGTTTATTTTCTTTTTCTAAAATAAGTAAAATACGTAGATTAATTAAGTTTCTAACGAAATTAAAGATATATTTGAATGAAAAAAAAATCATAAGAGTAAGTTATTAAAAAAAGCATAAGGGATAAGTGTTTCAAAACAAAATTATAGGATTATTTTTTCCCTTTATAATATTAGAAAAATTATTGTAAAAACTACAATAGTGAAACCAAAAAGTCGAACAATTAACATATTTTTTAAGTCATTTTCTAAAACATGTAGTAGCAAAAATTTTTGTACTAAAAATCTACTCAACTTAATAAATAAATAAAAAAATCTACCGAACATCCAGTCCAGCTTATACATTATTTATCATTCCTTTCGCCTTAAACAAAACATCCATCCATTTCTACACAGCGAGTGACCTACGCAGTTGGGAATATAGCGGTGAAAGCAGGAAGGATTGTGAAGATAACATTAACATTAACACAATGTTGAATCCAACAACAACGAGGTATGCTCTTTCCAAATTCTACTGCTTCTCTTTGTCTATGAGGTCATATTGTCAATCCACTACTTTTGGATTTCGTAACATTGATGATTCTGTCTCCTCTTTCATGTCCGCTCTCGCTAAGCGTCATCCTCCACCCATTATTGAATTTAATAAGATTTTAGGGTCTATTGTTAAGAAGAAAGAATACCCAACTGCTATTTCACTCTTTGCTCTTATGGAGTCTAGGGATATCACTCCTTGCATTTTTAGTTTCAACATCTTGATCAATTGTTATTGCCACTCGGGTCGGATGGATTTTGCTTTTTCTGTTTTGGGTAAGATTATCAAGATGGGTTACGAAATGAATACCATTACTTTGACAACCCTAATGAAAGGACTCTGTCTTAGTGGAATTTCATGACAGGGTAAGAGCATTTGGATTTCTTCTTAATGAGGTTAGTTATGGGACATTGATCAACGGTTTATGTAAAATGGGAGAAGTAAGAGCTGCCATTGAGTTGCTGCAAAAGCTGGAGAGGCAATCGATTAGGCCTGATTTAGTCATGTACAATACAATCATTGATGGGTTATGCAAAGATGGGCTTGTAGCCGAGGCTAACAATTTGTTTTCTAAGGCCATTGCCCAAGGAATTTCTCCTAATGTAGTCACGTACAATTCTCTAATTCATGGTTTCTGCTGTCTTGGTCAATTACAAAAAGCAGCTCGATTGCTGAATGAAATGGTTCAACAATACATCAACCCAGACCTATATACTCTTAACATTTTGATTGATGCATTATGTAAAGAAGGAAGAATAATAGAAGCCCAAAAGATATTTGATACGATGTTGGAAAGAGGTCCTAAGCCTGATGTTGTGACTTGCAGTGCTTTGATGGATGGATACTTTTTAATCAAAAAAGTGAATGAGGCAAGAAAGCTATTTGATGATATGGACAAAATAGGTTTGACACCAGATGTCAATAGTTATAGCATTATGATTGATGGGTATTGCAAAAATAAAAGGGTAGATGATGCTGTTACTCTCTTTAAAGAAATGCGTCACAAAAATTTAGTTCCAGATACTGTAACATACAGTTCTCTTATTGATGGCTTGTGCAAATCGGGGAGAATAACATGTGTGCAAGATATTGTAAATGATATGCATCAAAATGGTCAAGCCCTTGATTTAATTACTTACAGCATCTTGTTAGATGCTCTATGCAAAGCCCAACACCTTGATGAGGCAATTGAATTATTTCAGCAAATTGTTAACAAAGGAATACGTCCAAATTTGTATGCAAACAATATTCTTCTGAATGGTTTGTGCAAAGGTGGGAGACTAAAGACTGCTGAAGAGTTTTTTCATCATCTTTTGAACAATGGTTGCCGTATAGATGTTTGGACTTATAATATTATGATCAATGGGTTCTGTAAACACGGCTTGTTTGATGAAGCAACAGCTTTATTTTCAAAAATGAAAGTCAATGATTGCCTGCCTAATGTTGTAACTTGCGAAACAATTATTTTCAACAATCATTTCTCTTGTTCTATGAGATAAGATTGTGTTGATGGTAATAGGCATGTAACAGCTAGAAGATGAAATCTTTCATGCATCAAACTTTGAAAGCCTATAGTCACACACAAATTAATAAAAATAAAACTAATTTAAATTCTAATTTTAAAATTTGAATTTAAATATAGTCATGAAATTATATTTGATAACAATAGAGAAAAAAAAGGAAACCAATTAATTAGATTGATTGGCTAAAATTAGGGAAACCAATCAATTGAATTGATTGGATAAAAATAAAATAAAATTACCCCATATGATTGAGAAGTAATGGGGGCATTAATCAAAGGGGTTGATTAGCCATCATATTTAGTTTCCTTTTTTTCTTATTTAAATAAGACATTTTTCTTATTTTGCTTTATCCAAAACCCTAACCAAAAATTACTTACTACCAATAATTACGTTGAGACAGACAGAACATCTCTTTCATCATCCTGTTTTTCATCCGCTTATTCTCAATATTCAATATATCTCCCTCACAATACTGTTCAATTATTCTATTTATTTCATACTATCAAAATCTAATAACAACTAATTCATTCACTTTTATCTATGCATTAGTATTCATCAAGCCCTAAACAAAACAAGTCATTAAATTATTCATCCATTTCTACATAGGGAGTTTCTCAACTTAGAGTAACCATCGAGAGAAGAGGAACATTTAGCATTAACACAACACTCCACAATGTTGAATACAACAACGAGGTATGCTCTTTCCAAATTCCACTTCTCTTCGAGGTTATATTCTCATTCCCCAACTTGTGGGTTTCGTAACATTGATGATGCTGTCTCCTCTTTCGTTACCACTCTCGCTAAATGTCATCCTCCATCCGTTATTGAATTTAACAAGATTTTAGGGTCTATTGTTAAGATGAAAGAATACCGAACTGCTATTTCACTTTTTGCCCTTATGGAGTCTAGGGGTATCACTCCTTCCAGTTTTAGTTTGAGCATCTTAATCCATTGTTATGGACAAAAGATATTTAATCAATAAAGTGAATGAGGCAAGAAAGCTATTTGATTATATGGACAAAATAGGTTTGACACCAGATGTTAATAGTTATAACATTATGATTAATGGATATTGCAAAAATAAAAAGGTGGATGAAGCTCTAACTCTCTTCAAAGAAATGTGTCGCACAAATTTAGTTCCTGATACTATAACATACAATTCTCTTATCTATGGCTTGTGCAAATCTGGGAGAATAACATGTGTGCAAGATATTGTAAATGAGATGCATGGAAATGGTCAAGCCCTTAATTTAATTACTTACAGTATGTTGTTGGATGCTCTATGCAAAGCACAACATCTTGATGAGGTAATTGCATTGTTTCAGAAAATTTTTAACAAAGGAATTCGTCCAGATGTGTTTGCATACAATAGTCTTCTGAATGTTTCGTGCAAAGGGGGAAGACTGAAGACTGAAGACTGAAGACTGCAGAAGAGTTTTTTCATCATCTTTTGATCAATGGCTATAGTCTAGATGTTTGGACTCATAATATTATGATCAATGGGTTATGCAAACATGGCTTGATTGATGAAGCTACAACTTTATTTTCAAAAATGAAAGTGAATGATTACCTGCCTGATGTTGTAACTTAAGAAACAATTATTCGCTCTCTTCTAAACAAAAATGAGAAAGAAAAGGCAGGGAAGCTTCTTGGTGAAATGATAGGGAAAGGCCAACTTAAGCGAGAGATCAAGGTGAGATTATTATGTTCCTTTTATCTCTTACTTTTTTTATGTTTAATTTGCCTGGATTGCTTGCACAACCTTGTTTTGAATTGTTGTAGTTATCTTATATTTATATATTGAATTTACATCAGCCTTGAGTGCTGTTGTTACTTAGTTCACGTGACACTTCTCTTAAACAGTTTAATTAACAGTTACAGCGTTCTATGTTGTTTATTTGTCACGTAATGTTTCAGTTCAGATATCAGGATATAGTCCTAAATATTAATTTCTGACTTCTTCTCATTTTAATGTACATTTCTATCAGGTTTAATATATATAAAACCAAGCCATGATTTACTTAACCGATTAATGTTCACTTATCTCTAAACTCTTAACTCATTTTATTTTGAGTGAAAAACAAACATGTTCATTTTCTTTTCCCTCTATATTTCTGATGGTTTTCCTACTGCTATGATAGTGTTAACAGATGAATACTTTATTAGTGCCATCAAATCTAACTCCTTAAGTTTTTTTGAATTTTTTTTTCAATTATATTATGTCTTTAAAAAAAAAATAACTGTTCAAATGTACTGTGAGTTCTAAATAAGGTTTGGATTTTATTTATATAGTTGTAGTATATCCTTTATAATATCTCTATTTGGTTAGCTCTACTCTGAATAGATTTTTTTTTTCTCCTCTTCTATTCAGGATTCAATGTCGAGTTTGTCGGCTATTCCCTTGGAGGAGGAACAGATTCTTGGAAAGGAGCTATGCTAATCTTGAACACTAAATAGTATCAAATAATGTGTACATTATTTCTATCTCCTTACGAATGGCATTTCTTGTATCTTGATATTCTCAATGAGCTGAGCACGTATCTGTAGAACCTGGTTGTGAACTAAGATTATTGTTTTAAAGTCGATGTTTATTTCCCTTCTAATGTATTAAGGATTTCAGAAATATCAAACACCTTCTTTCCTTAGCTCTCCCAAAGCGATGTACGCCTTTGGATTGGTTAAAGAATTGTGCTTGGTGTATAGCAACATTAGTATGCACTAAGGAAATGGTATTGCTGGTTACATGCAGCCCTGGTTTTGTATGTGTTATCTCCTCATGTTGTCCAAAAGTATTTGTGCTTTGCTCTTGGCAGAAAATTTAATTTGAATGTGTTTGATGGCTATTATTAATAAACATGTTCTCTGTTTGCATTCGTGTCTTCATTCTAGGGATTTGACTGGGTTTCCTTTATACATACAGGGTTTGTCACATTTCCTTTACACCAAATTTTATTTGTTAGATGCACAAAAATCAATGGTTAATGAGATCTTATCAAATGATTGAACAACCGGGAGCAATTTACTTGTGTTTGATTACAAATGCATGATTAAAGTAGACGTGTTTTCCAAATTGCATACTCCATGACCTTTGATTCTTGAAAACAATTTGGAAGTGTGCTTGATATAATTTGAAACCTTACAATAATTTCCCAAGTCAAGAATATGCATTTGAATCAGGTGAAAGTCATTAGAATAAAAAATAGGCTGAAATCTGCTACATATTTGGCTTCTGTAAAAAAAAAAGAATTTTTTTTGAATATTTTACTGGAACAAAAGGTTTTTTCATTACTTATCCAAAATTATTTCAATACCTTCTTTCTGGTAGCACCTAAGATTTAGTAACGACTATTGTTTTGTTGGAAATTTATATATATTTATTTATTATGCCTCCAAGGCTCCAACCTCTCTTGATCAATGTATTATTGACGGTGTTCATTGCATTAAACTCATTTTTGCAAATCTTTATTAAGTCAATTATCTCCATATCAAAATAATGAATACAAGTCTTTCAATAAATAAATAAATAATGAATATAAGTCTAGTTATAAGTGTATGCCACGTTTAGATAAAAGTTTGATTTTGATGCCATATCACCAAGCACTAGGAGAAGATTGTTAGAGCTTAAGTAGTGGAAGTTCCCACTCTAGTACGGAATTGTTATAAATTTGATAGGGATAACTTTATCGTCCTTGTGATGCTTGGTTCGTATCTAACTAGGAGGTTCTAGTCTAAATTATTTTAAACTCAAGGGAAAATAGTGGAAGTTAAGAGATAGGCACATTCTCATAGAGAACTTCTATACTTATACAGTTTGTTATTTGTTGTAATATAATTTGGTGGGCTATTTGACCATTTTGCCTCTCATTAATTAATTAATAACTATTTTGTCCCTGATTCAAAATTATCCACCAATTTGCCCTTCTTTAATCGATTAACTTGCATTTTTAATCCATTAAATGGTTGTTGGGAGATTTAATCGACTAAATCTCCTTACTTAATCGATTAAAAAATCATACTGACTTGTTTCCCTTTGTTGCCTGTTGGGAGATTTAATCGATTAAATAGAGAGATTTAGTCGATTAAATCTCCCAACAGCCTTTTTTGCCTGTTTTGACCATTTAATCGATTAAAAATGCAAGGTAGTCGATTAAAGAGGGACATATTGGTAGATAGTTTCGAATCAGGGGCAAAATGGTTATTAATTAATTAATGAGAAGCAAAAGGGTGAAAAAGCCTAATTTGGTGGATCATGTAATTACGACTTTGGTAAATTAAATTAAAAGAGAAAGACAGAGAGCGGTGTATAGTTGAGACAAGGCACCTATCCATTATTTTGAGAGAGAGCACTATATAGAGCCGTAAATTCTACTCGAGTGGAAGATAATATTCCAATAAGGAGCAATATGGCAGACATGGCAGTGTTGCCTTTTGAGAAGAATGTATCCTTGACGATATGAAAGTATAAACTCTTTTAACACTAACCGATGTATATATTTTGCTCCACAATTATTCCCTATATACGCTGATTCCACTTTGAATTCCATCTTTTCTGAGTGAACACCAACTAAGATAAAGGTAAATATCTGAAGGGTATAGGTAACGAATAAGGTCTGAGGTGTATGGTGTATCTATAGGTGAATTGCTAAAATGTTATATATCCGATGTTGATTGTAAGTCCCTCTCCCTGTGTTATTCTTATGCTTATATAGCCTTTACATGCAGTAGTTACAAAAACATGGGATCCTTGGTAGTTGTAGAAATTGTGGTTCTATGAAGTAGTTAAGAGGTGATAGTGAATGTGACTGAGTGGGAAAAGATCGTGGGTTTAAACCCACGATCCGGGCTCCCGGCCTAAAGTCCCACAATTCGGGGTCATGGCCTATGAGGCTTGTCGAAATTACTCGTATGAATAGAAGGATCTTAGAGGTCTAAATAGGTCCAGCTAGGGTGATAATAAGGCCAGGGGCCTGTCAAGGGCCTTAGGCCCGGCCTGTTTCGACCTGGCCCGGCCCGTCTTTTTTAATTGTTGAGCTCAAATATGAATTCGTATAAAAGCCTTTTTATTTAAAAGGTTTCAGGCCTCTATGGATAAGCCTGGCCTTGGGGCTTGGGAGGCTGACCCGTCTTTACATTAATTTGTTATTATTATTATTAATCATTCATTTCAACGTTACATTGACACCTTCAGTTTCAATTTTCCTCTCTTGCCTATGCGCTCTCTCTCTCTCTCTCCAGTCTCCTCAACCAAGTTTATTTAAAATAATAGCACGACAAGACACCGAAGTCATTGTTTAAAATAATATATCATTTTCAAAGGGCAATGCTTTAGCTGTATCCTACAATAAAACAAAGATACCGAAATTTATTGAGAAATGTGATATTTTCGTTGCTATATGGTATATTTTAATAATTTGAAATTTTCACAGAACATATAAGAAGCATGTTCAACTAGAATGTAGACGAAAATTCTAGAAGAAAAAACAAAGACGTAAAGTAAAGGTCCTATTTGTTATTTTGACTTTTTAATATTAATATGCTTTTTTATTATAAAAGAAACAATTATTTTTTCTTGCAAAAATACATATCAGTGCATGATTAATGGGCTAAATACTGTTGCAAATTGGAAGCTAAGGTTTTTATTTTTAATAAATAAACCAGGCCACAGGCTTAAGACAAGCTTTTATGTTTTATAAATAAATCAGGCCACAAGCTAATATTATATTCATAACAGCTAACAAGCTAAGGCCAGTCTAACACGTTTATATACAAGCTTGGCCCATTAAGATCAAAGCTCGACTCGGCTTGGCCCGTTAACACCCCTAGATCCAGCTCCTAGTCAAATACATTGGGCTAGCCTGGATATAAACTCGGAACAATAAGCCCCCAGCTTGGAGTAACGCAAGTCGATACTCCAAGATAATAAATATTCATTATGACTATATTCGATAATCAAGATGTCCTTTCGTTTTTCGTCTTCCAAGCGACAACATGACTCACGTGGCTTATTGTCATTGGTGTCGCAAGCTTTCTTTTCAGATTTTAAAGTTCACATCAACCCTAAATCACATCATTACTCCACTGTCTCGTTTCTCGCCCTTTGAAATCCTCTACCCTTTCACTCTTATTCTTGATTTCTCTAGCATTCTCTCAGTTTGCCTTCTTCATCAAGCTTTTCTAAGGGTTTCTTGCGTCTTGCCTATTACTTCAAGGACTAACTCATTATGTACTTGGTAGGGTGCATTATTCTCCTCCTTTCTTTATCTTTTTCTTGCTTCTGGATTTGGATGCCATTTATTAAACTATTACGAAACACATTACGGTGATTGTTCGACAAAACTCTTAATAAACTAGAGAACTATTAGTGACTTAACCTTTTTTTATTAAGGAATTTCTATGGATAGTGATAAATCACGAGGAACTC